TTAAAAAATCACGGTATTCTGAGTTGAATTTTAACATGCTAACTGTGATGTGATAAAAACTATGATCCTATAATCTCAAATGACTATCATATCCCAATCATCATGTTAACGTCCAGCTTAGACAACTGTCATTTTTTTAACAGAAAATGATGAGTTCATAGCATATGTAATGAATAGTCATGTAACCATTTTGTAACTTTTAATAATTGAAGAACTTAACAAAGTAACATTCTATAGTTAAATGGTCATTTTATAAATTTTAATAGTCAATAGACTTAATAAAACAATATCATATAATCGTGAGATCATTTGTTTATCTTACCGTAACTTTTTTTATACTAAATTAAATAAAATTCATATAAAGATCCCAAACCACTAGTATAGTTTAAAATTTTTAAAACTTACGAAACCGTGTGCTCTAGGGCTTGTAATGTTATTGCGTTGTCATAATCATGATGAGATTGTCTCACTAATTATAATTAATCCATTGAATTCCCATAATATTACTAATTATCTCTATAATTAATCAATTTATGTCACTCTCAAACTCCCATTTGTTCATTGTATAAATGAACCTAATTTGTGTATTCAATTACGAGGTGGAATTAACTTGGCAAAAATCCTCAGATAATGCATTGAAAAAAAAAATCTTCAGATATCGCTGTCGAAGAATTATTTGTTGAAATAGAGTTGTTACTATAATAAACTGTTTAGTCGTCAGGTGATCCAAACGACCTATGCAGGTCGCCATGCAAGTCAAACTTTGGTAGTATAGTTTGTTTGGTGGAGAAGAAGGAAGACATCTGGGGGTGGGGCTGTGATTTATATAATTTTGATTATGATGTTTATTTGAGGATTTTCCCCAATTAACTTCATAAATCAAAACGACTAATACAACAATTATCAAAGGCTCATGTCACTTTCTTCGTAGATTTATTTTATTTTATTACTTTTTAAAATAAAATTTAAATTGTGATTTTAATCTGTATATTTTAAAATTTTACGATTTAATCCTTCTATTTAGTTTAAGTATAATTATATCTCGTTCGATACACAATCTTCAAACGCTTTCTTATAAACCATTATTATCTTCTATCGCTAATTCTTATATAGTATAAATTTAAATTAAGTGTTTGAAAAATAAGTTTAAATTTTATATTTCAATAATGTTTTTGTTTTTTATTTTTTTATTTTATCACATCTTATTAATAGTTTATAAAATTATGCCTTAAACATGAGAAGAAGTGAAAGTGATGGTACAAATAAGGTGTGAGAGGCAGGGTGTCCAAGTGTCGACTCTTAAACATTTTGGTATAATAGCATTTTAGTTCTTTTTTAGTTTAAATATTAGCTAAATAAGATTTTTTTTCCTCTCAAACATTTTGGTATAATAACATTTTAGGTCTTTATTAGTTTAATTATTAATCAAATAGGGTCTTTTTCCCTCTCAAACTTTTCGGTATAATAGCATTTTAGATCCTTTTTCATATTGATATTAGTTTGCCCTCCTAATTTTTAGATTTATATGCTTAATATATTCTTATTTTTTTGTTGATATAAAATAATTTTGTCCCTCTCAACATTTGATTCTAGTTTCGTCTCTGGGTGTAAAAGAGTGTGACATATAAAGATAAAAGATGAAATATAAGTGTTGTTATTTGTTAAATTTTCTAATAAGACATTTTGAATTGATTAATTTTAAAAATCGAAATAGACAGAAGAAAGTATATGAATTTTATGATTTTACCTTTCTTACTTTTTATTAAATAATTAATTATTTTGCTATGGAGTGATGCAACATCCCATGATAGACAGACAAAAAGATATTTGTATAGACATTTAATATATTAATCATTTTTTATTGTATATATATTAGGATTAATTTCATAAGACGTCCTCAAACTAAAGTCTACATTTTATATTGATCTTCAAATTTAACAAATATTCTAATTGAGTCATCAAAGTAATAATATTATCTCAATTATTTTTTTAATAAACCTAACTCCCAGCTTGATCATTAAATGTTAATTCAAATATGACATTAAATATATTAAAAACACATGGATCAAAATTTTAAATATTGAGAACTCATTGAATGACACAAGTGATTAAATGAAGTGTTGTTATCTCTTGACGTTTCGGGTTTAACAACTATGTCTATAGTGTGTGTGTGCATTGTCGACGACTAAGAAAGATTATGAATATATAATGCCTTGTAAACACTCAAACTATTAAAAATTAAATATGTGTGTATATTGTATGGTTAACTTGACTCTAAAGTGTTAAATATAAAAAAATGTCATCAAATTTTAGAAGGGTTGTTTGTTTTTCTTAGCACGATAGATACAAATTATTCATACGATAAATACATATTTATTTAAAATTTAATCTATGAATTTCAAAAATGTTACAAGTCTAAACCGAGCTAGCTTGGACATCTAAGTTGCCAACTATGCTGACAGAAGGACTTGATTGATACGATATCGATAATATTAAGATTTAATTAGAATGAAAGGAAGTTGGAGGACCAATTTATAATCTAGTCATAGCTTGAAGGCATTTGATGCAATTAAACCAATTTTATTAGCATACTTAAGAAGACTATAACGACAGACATACCAAGCGTAAGCATATGGGGCCATGGGGCCCATAACATATCATTGAACATTAAATAAAACCTGAACCAGAAACAACCGGTTCAGCATATCAAATTTTCTTTTTAATTTCTTTCATTGTAATTATTCGGTTTTTTTTTTGTTCAAATACAGTATTTTGTTTGTTGTTGAATTGGCTACAAAAAAAATATTTTTATTTTTGGGTTTTATATACATTTTGCATCAAATGTTTATAGGATTAAGTACACAAATGGTCTCCGACTATAGGGTTATGTTTTATTAAGTCATTTGACTATCAAAAGTTATGAAACGGTCCTTCGATTATATAGTGTTGTTTTTTTAGTCCCTCGACTATTAAAAGTTACAAAATGGTCATCCGACTATTCATTATGTTTCAAACTCGTATTTTTCTATTAAAAAATTGACGGTATTATCAGTTGAACGTTAACCTACCGACTGTGATATGAATAAATATGATCACAGAATCTCAAACGACTATCATATCTCAGTCATCATGCTAACGTTTAACTTAACAATCGCCAATTTTTAATGGAAAAAGACGAGTTTGGAACATAATGAATAGTCGGGTGATCATTTTATAACTTTTAATAGCCGAGGGACTTAATAAAGCAACATTATATAGTTGGAGGACTATTTTGTAGCTTTTAATTGTCGAGGTACTTAATAAAGTAGTATCCTATAGTCGGAGGACCATTTGTGTACTTTACCTATATTTATATAATCTTTTAAAAGAATTAAATGATATTGCATGGTTCGATTTTTGTTCTACTAAATCATCTCTTTCAATGGTGTTCGTAAAATATATTTATATAATTAAATACCGACTTGAGAGAATGTACAAAGTAAAGGGGCCAAGTTAATAGTTAAACCTAGCTGATTTATATGCGTATGCTACTCAAGGTGACTATTTAGTTTAAGATTTTGAGAAATGAGGACTGATTAATAAATACATAAAAAGTATGAAAAATTATACGAATAATGTTTGCTTTTTAAGAAGATATTTTAAATGATATTTATCTTTTATCGTTGATAAAAATATTTATTTATATATATTATTTTTAGTTGCTTATTTTTATGATTATGTTTGGATATTTAATTATCTTTCAAAATTATGCATAACGTATCATTTGTGTTCTGTTTTGATAACCCATCGTTAAAAAATAAACAGAACTAATGACGTTATAATTTTTTTATTTTTCAATGATGATTTGACATTATCTTATTATGACACGTCAACGTCATCTTTAACTTTTTTTAACATTAGATAATAAAAACGGAATCAAAATATAACGTTAGTTATAATTTTAAAAGAAAAACAGTTAGGTGCTCAAGACGAAACTGTTAAAATATATGAATGACTAAACATGTAGTTTAGTCTAAAAGTAAATATCATATATTTTTATTGAATTATGAGCGAAATACCAATAATTTTTTAAAATGCTATATTGATATTTTAGTAGTTTAACTTTGATTTTTTTTCGAATTTATCACTCAAATTTTAGATTTCATTTATAGGTTACTCGTTTATTGGTTGTTTAACGAGAGTACCAAAATTAATAGTTTTGGACAGTTTTATTATGACATTTATCTAATATTTTACCATTTTTATTCCTTGTGATTAATTATTGTCGACTATCATTTGTAATAAAAACTGGTATTAAAATATTTTCCTTTCTATCCTCTTTATTTTTTAATTTGATTATTCTCAAAATTGAGATAATTTCAATAAAAAATTAAAATTTTACCCCAATTTAATTTATAATATCCATCATATAATTAGCGTGATATTATGAAATATTTTTCCTTATCAACCTCTCCATTGAAAATATTTTGACGTTGGTGAATCAAAGTATGTCCAAAATTTTAAATTTTAAAAAATATTTTTTATTTACAGAAATTTTTTTGTTACACCCTTAATTTTTTCTCTTATAGATTAAATAAATTATTGAAATTTTAATTATAATAAATTATATTGTCAAAATCGACTAAAAGATTAATTTAATTTTTTTTCCATGTCATCATTCGCACTATAATTATCACATTAGTATCTTAACAATCAATGTTGATGAAATTAGTACTAATAAAACAAGAAATGATAAATTCGCGAAACAATTACAACAGTTTCTCTTTCACTTGTCCGAAACTGGACCCCACAGAATTATTAAGAACCTGCCAATAGCAAATGACAAAAAGGCAAAAATTATTGCCTCAAGTTTCCACGTGTCAGGATCCCACTGTTTCAAATCAAATCATACAACCAAATATCACAGTTTGATAAATCAAGGGACTAAAACGAGAATTCCACCCTTGGGAGAACTTCTATAAGTTGCAACCTTTAGCATTGAATCCCAAAAAGAAGAAAGCTTGAATCTCCTGAGTCCTGCCGTTGTAGATAACAGGAAAAAGGCTTTTTTCTTTTTCATTTGTTTTTGTTAATTTTCGTTTTAAGAAAGTGTAAAAATCCCTTTGGGGAATGCAGAGAGATGAGAAGTTCATCGTTGATACGGCCTGAGCATTGTGGCAACCGTAAACGTTCCGTTGGCGGCCGGACTTGTCACCGGAAACACGTCGAAGACGGGTGATCCATTGATCGGTAATCCAGTCATAGCTTCTCCTCTCTTCTTTTAATCTTCCGTCTAAGTTCATCTCTCATGTTGTAAATATAGAGTAAATTCAGTTCAAAGGGTGTCTTTTTTTTTTTTTAATTTCTCGATCTTATAAGTTACAAAAATGGCGGACAACGCTACTAAGAACGACAACCCATCTTTGCTTCATGGGAAATACGAGCTCGGTCGTGTATTGGGTCAAGGAACTTTCGCCAAAGTCTACCATGCAAAGAATCTCCAAACGGGGAAGAACGTCGCCATGAAAGTCGTCGGCAAAGAAAAATTGATCAAAGTGGGGATGATGGAGCAGATCAAGCGGGAGATTTCCGTCATGAAAATGGTGAAGCACCCAAATATCGTGGAACTGGACGAAGTTATGGCGAGCAAGTCCAAGATTTACATCGCCATGGAGCTCGTCCGTGGCGGAGAATTGTTCTCGAAAGTCGCCAAGGGTCGTCTCAAAGAAGACGCGGCCAGAGCTTACTTCCAACATCTTGTTTCCGCCGTCGATTTCTGCCACAGCCGCGGCGTTTATCACCGTGATTTGAAGCCGGAGAATCTGCTCTTGGACGAAGATGGCAACTTGAAGGTCACCGATTTCGGACTAAGCGCTTTCTCGGAACACCTTAAACAAGACGGCTTGTTACACACGACGTGCGGAACTCCGGCGTATGTAGCCCCGGAGGTCATCGGAAAAAAAGGATACGACGGAGCCAAGGCGGATCTTTGGTCTTGTGGGGTGATTTTATATGTTCTTCTCGCTGGATTTTTACCGTTTCAAGATGATAATATTGTGGCAATGTATAGAAAGATTTACAGAGGTGATTTCAAGTGCCCGCCATGGTTTTCGCCGGAAGCTCGTAGATTAATCACCAGGCTTTTAGACCCGAACCCGAATACCCGAATCACAATCTCGAGGATCATGGATTCGTCTTGGTTCAAAAAATCCATCCCCAAGACCATAACAACAAAACAAGAGCTCGAATTCGAAGCTTTCAACGGTGACAAGTCATCAAAGACCGAGACTTTGAACGCTTTCCACATAATTTCATTGTCGGAAGGCTTCGATCTGTCACCGTTGTTCGAAGAGAAAAAAAGGGAAGAAAAAGAAGAAATGAGATTCGCCACCACAAGGCCGGCGAGCAGCGTGATATCGCGGCTCGAAGAGGTGGCAAAATCGGGCAAGTTCAGCGTCAAGAAGAGCGAGTCAAGGGTGCGGTTACAGGGACAAGAATACGGAAGGAAAGGGAAACTAGCCATCGCGGCCGATATATTCTCGGTGACGCCGTCGTTTTCGGTGGTGGAAGTTAAGAAAGACAACGGCGACACCTTCGAGTACAATCAGTTCTGCAGTAAAGAGCTGCGACCGGCGCTTAAAGACATCGTCTGGACATCGCCGACCGAGAACACGACCGTTGCTTGATGATAATATTGTTGTTCTTTGTAATTTTCTTTTCAATGTTGTGATTGATTAAAACTTTGTTCTTGTTGTTGTTGGATCCATTGTATGTTGATGTTTCTGTTGTTCATATGTTTGTGTGTCAGTGGACTGCATTAGTGACGATTAATCTTTGTCTCGCCACTTTCTTGTTGCTTTATTTTTATTAACTCTAGTAATTACAAAATAATATTTATTTAAAAATAATTTTTAATTATTATTTGATATTAAATATTTATATTTTTAATAGTTATGACACTCGAATTTAAAATTTTTAAAAATAATTATTATTATTTTATCATTAAAATCACTATTCGTGTTTCTTTCTCGCTTCCTCTTTTCATTTGGAATCAATTCATTACCATATTATACGCCACACTAATTATTGGTTTTGAACGAAGGTGTAAGAGTTTTCTTGCTATTTTGTTATTGCAATTTGGTCAAAATACATTAATAGTCCATTGGAATATCACTATTTTTAAACTTCACAAATTAACTATTTTGTTTTATTATTATTATTGGATAACTATTCTCTTTAGGATTTTGTATGCACCTCTTAAAATCTCTCCTCTCGTTTATTGATGGTATAAATTTTATTTCTTTTGATCATAGTTTTTTCGGTCAAAAATTCTCGTTTGAAATGTAATTATTGACTCAAATCAAGAAACTAGAAAACGGTGCTTTTAGATTAAAACAACTCGTTGAAAAAACTCATTTGGAGAAATATTTTCAAATGAAACCTTAACTAGACTTCAAGACTCGAGATTTATACAAGAAAAGCGTATTAGAGGTTTTACTTCAACAAACAATCACATCATGTAAGGATGAGCCGAGGAGGAGACGGGTAGGCACAATCCTACCTTGAAAATTTAAAACTACTATATATTTTATATTTTTATGTGTTTTTTTATTAAAATATATTTTCGTCCCCTAAAATATTATAAATTCAAGTTTACCCCTTAAATTTTGAAAAGTTCAAGTTCTCTTCTGACATAAAATTCAATGTCTGTCCATGAGGCATGCTTCGGCAAATGGATATCGGTCCAATAACTTCGATTGTTTACGGTTCTTTCTAACAAAGCAGTTGAGCCTACATAATTATTCGTCGTCGACATAACTGGTTGAGGTCACGTGAGATTGAACTTTCTATGAGCTGTAATCTGCTCTACTACAGCTTTGTCTTACGTCGGTATAAGGCTACTGGTAATCTTGTAAAAGAAGATGCGTTTTGTGAGCGTGTATTTTTGGACACTCTTTTGCCATTTAAGGCACTTCCTTGGCCGTTTCAAGACACTTGAATCATACGAATATCTGTTGGAATCAGTGAAGATAAGATCCCATGTCCACCGCACCATTCCTTTCATGTGTCTCGTGCTTTTGCCGGCTGTTGCTGCTACTTGAAACTTCAATCTACTATCTACTATCTCATCGTGTTTGCCATGTGTTGGTGACCACACAACTATCATTAGCACGATGACAAAAAACAAAAGGATTAGATACGCAATAGTACATGGATTAACAATAAAATTTGAGCTGAGTTGATTTCTTTACGTGGTCCATTGTTAGGTTTCGGTAGCTACCTCCAGCAACGTACGGAGTAAATGAAAATGGTGGTTTGTGTTGTCTGCTATACAGGTGTCCATCAGCTTGAGCCATACATTGATAATGAAACCCTGCAGTTTACAGGCCTGTCTCTCATCTTAAATTTTCTCTGGTTGCATGGGTCATGTCCTCTCACATTTTACTTTGAAAATATTTAATCTTAACTCGGACCCTAAATATAGATCGACCGACGAGAGAAGTGGTTGGTTTAAACCAGCAGGAGCGAAGTGGTATGTTTGAGTCCAAGCTTCTTTAAGCTTGCAAGTGGGAGTTAAAAATGTGACAGTAACCGACCGGGGTAGACCAGAGGGTGGTGTCATGTTGTCGGAGATGAGTTTTGTGAAGGACAATCATCTGTCACGTTGTGGTGACTAAGATCCACTTTTATTCACATGGCTTGGGCCCCTCCCATTTCCCTACCAATTTCATTTCAAACCACTCAACTAGCTTAATACGTCAAGATTTCTTTAACCTTTGCAGTTCAAAAGAATTTTCCAATTATGATTTTAATCTCTTTATTACGTTAATATAATGGCAAAAAGTCCTTGAAAATAATATGAATGGTATTATTTTTTCTTTTAATATGATATTCTAATTTAGAAAACAAACTCGATTCTTTGACAATGGTTTTCTATCGCTAATCATTACGGTATTGGTGTGACAGTTCATGATGTTGGCATTACAGTCCATCTGTCGTATTTGAGTTACCAATTTAGCCTTATCTGTCATGTCATCCGTCACATTATCAATTACTGTGGACTACTACGTTATCACCATGGACTGTCACATCACTACAGTTAACTGTCACATCAATACCATAACAGTTAACGATGAAAATCGTTGGTCAAATAATCACATTGAGAGAAAAAATAATACAAGGCCGGGCCACATTAATTTTTTTTTTAAGTACAGAGAACTCAGATGCAACACAAGTGGAGCTAGAGGGGCTGGTAGGGTTTTGGCCTCCCAAAATGGTATAATTTCTCTTTAGTCCATCTAGAATTATAAAATTACAATTTAATACGATGATTAAATTGCAATCTGATCCTCCTAAATTTAATATTTTTGACTCCTAAACACAATTTCCACCTTCCCCCTGTGCATAAGGACTAAAACCATAATTGAACCTAAAAAAAGATCGAATCTCATGCAAGACATTCATTGAACAAAAATGCTTAATATTGAAATGAAAATAATCGTACATCTAATTTTAAGTTGTTATAAGCAAAACGTCCGCTTAAACTATAAATCCTTAATTGATATAATTTTAAACTACAAGGTAACATGTTGGTTGCCCTAATTTAATTAACATTAAAAACATAAATTAATATTAGTTGCATTTATTTCACACCATTAGTAAGAGTAATTTTACTTAATCACTTGTATAATTAATGAATTGTTAGCCTAAGTCTTAAATAAAACTGTCCTTGATTATGATTAACATAAACTTAATGTCATAAACAATATATTAAATACCCATAGAAGAATACCCTAAGAACAATTGTCAACAAAAGCTCAAAATTAATGAAAAAGAACACACTATATACTTTTGAGTCAATAATAGTATGAAAAATTGTATCATGTATGATGATGTATGCATATATTCTTTATCACATACAATTGAGTCCCTGTCTTGCATCTATGTGGGGAAGGTGTCTTTAATTAGATTCAGATTAGTGAATGATTACTTCTTAGATAACATAAACTCTAATTCTAATTTATGACTAAACAACTGGGTGTGTGGGACACATCAAATGGACGGTCCAACTCCAAAAGCCAGAGTGTTTATTTTTAAACAAGTATCTCAACAATAATAATATCACCTATTCATCATGAAAAGTTATCTTAAAGATCGTGTACGTAATGAATTAAAAAAAGTTTTAAACATATATGATTTTATAGTCGCCTTAGACTATTAAGCAAGATTCTCTTAAATCTTAGCCTCGTCGGTTAATCATTTTCCGATAAGAACCAAACCTCTAACATCATGCTTTCTTTGCTATGTCGGTGGAGGTCGTCACATCTCAACAGCGAAAACCCTTTTCTTATCATTCACCACAAATCCTTCCAAATAGTGGATTTAAAAATATTTGTGAAGATAGACACATATATTAATAATATATTTTTTTATGGAGTGGAAACAAAATATTTTTAAAGAAAATACAATCAATAAAATAATAACTAATAAAAAAAAGTTGAATTTCATGATGAATATTTATTCAGACCTTTTAAATGCCCAAACCATTAGCCTTTTTGGAACCCCAAACCTACCTTTTCCCTCGTTATTTCAAAAACCCACCAGCCCCTTTTAAAACCCCAAGCCCACCTCAAACCATAACTCGCGCATATTTTAAATGGATAAACTACGCATTTACTACCTAAACTATCAATTTTGATCCATTTTAGTACTTGATCTTCCAATTTTTTTAAACTATACCTAAATTTTAGATTTTATTTTGTTTTAGTACCCCACCTTTAAAAACTTAATACGTTTAGTACTTAAACTATTAGATTTGGTCAGTTTTAGCTCCTACTTTACTTTTTTTAATTAACGTTAAATTTTGAACAATGTACCAAAATGAAACAACAATTAAAGTTTTTAATGACCGGTACTAAAATGAAACAAAAATTAAACTTGAGGTATAATTTTGAAAAAGAAAAATGTTTAAGTACTAAAACGGACCAAAACCAATAATTTAGATACTAAACAAATAATTTACCTTTCTTTCCTATTGTCGGAACCGTCTTTCCGGTTGGGCCCCGGAATTGGGCTTCGACTTAGATTAATTGGGTTGGAGTCGCCACCGACCACTTTAAAACGAATTTAGGTGGGTCGGACACCATCTTACCTGATCTGCGTTGTACCAGAAACGTGTCGGGTTCGGGAGTCGATTACGGTCAAGGAAGGATTAGCACCCTTGAACCGCCCTTTCGGTACCGATTAATTTTCCGGTTGTCGTTATAGCGAAAAATAGAAAATTTAAATTTAAATTTAAATTACTCGATTCGAATTACTCACCTTTGATCAATTGAAATTTCTCTACAAAGTCAAAAATGTTAGGGGAAAGAAAAAAAAAAATATTGAATAAATAAAAGGAAGGAAAAAAAATAATACAAATGCTAGATTTTAAAAGTGATAAATTAAAAATAAGAAAAGGAATAAAAATACACTAAAATTAAGGTAAAAATGAATAATTAAAAAAATGCTAAAATTAAAAAGGAGAAAAAAAAATTCGAGGACTAAATTATAACAAATTAAAATGGATGGGTTAACCAGGTACTAAAAATAAACTGCAAAATAAAAAAGTAAGGGGGCCAAATTGCAAAACAATGTAAATTAAAAGTAGGGACTGAATTGAATAAATCACAAATTCAGAGGTCAAATTGCATACGGTGACCAGATTGTAAAGCGATTCAAACATACAGGGACTGCGGAGAGAATTAAAAAAACTTCTAATTGCAAAGAGGCCCCTGGTATATAAATATGAAAA